CCAATTAAATTTCCGCGCATTAGGCGTTTGAAGCTAACAATAACACAGTTTTGCTTTCATGAAATATGAAATGCTGGAGTGGAAGCAATGGTCGATGGTCGGTGATAGGTCGATCCATCTCACAGCATGCAACATGGGCGCATAAATGAGACTTGCTCGAAGAGGAACTGCTAAAACGAGGAATGCATTCCTTATTTCACGGATTTCCAGCTTTTTCATTCCTCGTTAAGCCGAATAGAATCATCATCATGGGTTGAGAAACGTAAAAACGCATGGAGCAGGCGAGGACGAATCCTCGGGGATTCGTCTCTCCCGAGGTCCTTCGCAGTCCTGTCCATCGAGTCATCTGCAGGTCGCCGCAAAAGTTCCCGTCATTTTTTTTGTTTCTAGTTTTATTTTAAATATAAACTATTTTCAAAACAATGTGAGAAGTAAAAATTGGGAACCCAATTATATAATTTTGACTACATGACTACCTCCGGCGTCGACGCACAGCTTCAATCTCTTCGGGAAGTCCTCAAGGATATCCACAAATTCTTCAGAAAATGTAATTGCATGCATTCTTCAGAACTCGCTTCTGTGATTCAATTGATTTACGTGGATTTCCACAGACCTACGATTCCAAGATTCCCCAGGTTGAGTAGTCAAAAAGATTGAGAACGGGAGAATATGGCGGACATTCTTGCGAAGAGATGAAATCCGGAAAACCGTCTCTGATTCGATCTTGGGTGATTCGAGCCTCGTGTCCTCGTGTGAATTTGTTCTAGCAGATTTGTTGATTGATTTTGACTCATCGAAAACGAGTGGAGTTTTGCCATTTCGTTGTGTCGGTGAGCAGATGGGCATCTTGTAGGTAGATCATCTTTGAGTATTCGCTGAACTGATATTCGCGAAATTTTGACGGTCTTGGCGAGTTTCCTGGTCGACTCCCCGGGATTTCTTTGGGTTCGTTCCTTCATCTTTCTTTGGTTGATGGGGGTGTTCCAAGTCCTCGGACGACCACTGCGAACATGGTCATTGTTTCTCACAGTCTCTTGGTAAGATTTGACGGTATCGGAGACGGTCATTCGTGGCAAATTGAGCAAGCGGCCGATCTAGAAAATTCGCTTTCATTCATCAAACAAACGCACGGCTTCAGGTCTAAATGAATTCATGTCTAAAAATTATGAAAATTGAAGCACATGAACACGTTTGAAGTGCATCTGAAAAAGAGAAAAGGTGCTAGAAAAATGCCATTCGCGAAAATTAAAAGAAAAAAAGAGAACTGCTGCGCCACCCTGTAAGATGTCTCTTCCACGTTGAGACCTTGATCGACAGAGTTACGTCTGATGAAGCGGTTCTTTCGAGAGTTCAATGTCGCCACGTGTCGAAGTTAGCCGTAGACTGAGCGAAATATATAGGAGTCTAAGGGATTGTTGATGCGAGAACAACAGGGCCATGAAGCGGGGCTCGTTTTGAAACAGACCCCTTCATGAACATCATTTTTCCCAGTTAGAGTGTTTTTTTAATGACTTATGCACTTTATTTTCTATACCAGCTCGAATTTAAGTCCTTGACCTATGACCTCAAGTGTTGATCGCAATTTTCTCATATATGCCCATCCGGGAGCGGAATGCCCGTTTTAGACACTCAAGTATCACAGGTGAGTGCAGGGTGAATGCATTAAGCGTGATCGTGTGCATTTGTGTGGGCGCAGGTGCACATTCACTTGCGTGTGCACAAACACTTGGGCTTTTCCCGTGTTCACGGGAAACATCGCACTTGCTCGAATGCAGGTGTTTCCTTGGAGGCGCGCACGGCACTCCTTTAAATCCAGTCTCAGGTCTGGGAATTACGAGGATTTGTCTGGATTCCTGAAATTCTGGAAATTATTTATTCCCTCATTCCGCCCCCAACGTTGCTCACCATCGTCATACTTACACGATGGTAGAGGAATTGCACTCTCTCGTGTGAATCCTCATGCAAGGGGCCACTATGCATGCCATATGGAGTGTCTGTTCTCACCCGACTCATGCACTCATGCTTGCCCAGACTGAGCCACCTGCACTCTGCACAGTGCAGGTGGCTCAGTTTTCATGGCATCATCCCTTCGATCAAACGCACCATATCGGTTCGAGTGTACATTCTCTGATTCATCATGTTTCTAATGAGGGAAAAGGGGGGCAGAGATGTTGTCTGAGTGGAAGGGATATTGCTCTACCCCCTGCCAATTGAATGAACTTCAAGGGGACTTAGAGGTCAGAAATATTCAATTTAATAAAAATAATAACCTTTCACATAATGCCTGCTCTTCATTCGTTCGATTACCGTTCGAAAATGGGAAAATGCATAATGATGAGCCACGTGGTGTACAGCATTTCCAAAGGTGAAACTAAAATTTTGGAAAAAGGAATATTTTCATTACTATTTCACTACTTGGTGAGCAATTTTTTTATTCGCAGTATGCAACAATAAATCTCTTACGCAAACCAGTTACCCAGAGAACATACCACGTTGATCCGGTCTGAAGTAAAAGTAGGAAAGGTTGATGGAGCATCATTGCTGGGGAACGATGTTGGCCCAATGTGATCCGAACGTGGGCATATTCCCAAGTGGAGGAAAACACCTCCACGCCACTGGATGGAGGTATGGGTCTCACTTTTCGCACAGTACACAAAAGTGCCCTTTCCTCTCTTTTCCTGGAATCGTCCCTTACGAGAGAGTTTAGTACCTCGTCATCATATGTCTCGCCTTGTCTCATTATAGGAATCTAATAAAGGAAGGCACTTCATCATTTGTTATCGACATGTTCGAGACAGTTTCACGGCGCCCAGAGCATAAACAAGCTCATATTCCCTATATATCCACTATATGAACCCTTTCATGAGGTGGGTTGTCTTTTAAAGGAGTTTTACAAAAAGAAATTGACCAGTAAAAGGAGTTTAAGAACATTGGCTATTGAACATTTGATGCCTCTGTCATATTTCAACCCGCACCCCTGGGAATGTTGCCTCTAGCTATACTATCTACTCTATGATTGGTAGCGCCCATGAACTCAATCCACTGCCTCCTCATTCTGATGGCTAAGGGAAGAAAAAAAGGACGGACTTCACAGATGCTTCATGGATCTGTAATGGGTGTACCTTCCTCTGACATCTACTATAATATGTACATTCATCGGAGCGTCAACTCCTGTACTGTCCTATGCCTCCTGCCTATCCAGGTTAAGAACATGTGCATGGCAGGCGGTTATACTTACTTGTTAGTGCAGGTTTCGTACGGCAGATGGGAATGCTTCCACTGGGTAAAGAATTTAAGAGTGCGGAACGAAATTATGAAGGCCAATACCGAGCTAATACCAGCTGCTGGGGCAAGTGGGTTATTTGTTTCTCTACAGCTTACTGCTAACATTGGCCCCACATTGGCCAAACGGTCACTTTTACGTGGGGCCGACATGAATACCCTACAGTGGGTCAACGTGGATCCCACAAAAAATATTATCTGGGTATCTATTCTGTTCATATTGATTCAAGATTCAAGATTATAGAAAGTATAGCGAATGCAATGGGGAATGGGGGGAGATGTTTTCTACTTCGAGAAAAATGCACTGTATACTTATGAAATTATTTAGTATTATTATTTATGAAGTATTTTTCGGAAAATCCTCAACGTGTAAGAAACACAAGTATAAGCTAATTCGACAAATGACGAGAATGTCCTTTTTTGTAGCTGTGGCAACCAGAAACAACAACTTTGCGCCGATATTTCACGGAGGCGGCGGCGGCAGCTCAAACATAGTTGAATCTGAGACCGACAATTGTATATTGCAGGAGTGTCGAACTCTATTAGGCTGGGGGCCGGATGGAACCCTTCAGGGGGGTTGGGGACCCATGCCAACAAATCTGAAAGACAATCTGTAATGCGAACTGGTCGAAATCTCTAAAATTCCAAAACCAACTAGTTAAATGGACTTCACGGGCCAGATGAAATGAACTAATTGGACGGATCCAGCCCGCGTATTTTTACATATCTGGTCTATCGAAACACAGTCATTTCACATTGGAACGTTCATCGGATGCATTCCAACGCGCAGTTGCTCGGTTTTTGCAATCCGGTCAACCTGCAGAGGCATTCCTAACACGTAGTCAAACATATTGACAAGATATTGTCAATGTCAAAACATGCGACTGCTTACATGTTCCTTTTAATCCTCTTCACGTGTGTTGAGTGACAAGTATTTCGCGATGATGATGCGGCTGACAGTTGACAAGGTGTCCATGGCGCCACAACTGAAAAGTGAAGGCCCCCATGAGACTCCGGCGGCTTAAGATGCAGCAAATAAAAAAAAACCCAGAAGATTGCTATAAGTGCGAGACATTCACTTACTAGGTCGTCTCAGAATCATTCAAGCTATAAAGGTTTCTATAGCTGACGTTTTTGCATCCTGTTTCGCTTCTGGGGACTTCTCAACCATGCACTCTCATCATGCATTGCATCCGAGGCTTGTTGATTACCTCGTTTGTAGTTGATATTATTTCAAGATCTAGACCTAACCTCCAGAATCATTAATATCGGTAATTCCCGATAATAACAACATTATATTCATATAATGTAAACAAAGACTGAAGAAATTGATGTCTTCTAAAATGTATGTTGACATCTGCAAAGGCCACGCCAGTTTTTCGTTTGAATAAGTAAAGTAATTGCGTTATTCGTTCAAGTCTTCTGTCGGAGTGGGACAAAAGGCGAGCAATGCACTATTATATTACCTGTAATTCAAGTGAAGGCAGCAGTACCTGAGGATGATGTGATTAAGGTTAATGGCCATTTATTGAAATGCACAATTGTGAAGACGAGGGTACGGATTTCACCTCCAGCCCCTCCCAGGGGCTGCGAGCCAGATTCGCATACAGGTATATATTACGTTAAAGCCAGTTGGTCGTTTAGCTGTTAGCATCGATTATGAAGGCATGAGTTCCTGCAGCGCCCCTTTCTTCAAAAATTATCTCAACTCTTCCACGGAAATCATTCTACCACATATTTATTGGATCGTCAGCATCGGTTCCACTTGCTTCAAACTGGATATGGTTACAATCGATATCGATATATGGGAATTAATCGAGATATCGCACAACACTGCGTTATCATGACGGGTGACATGCATTACATGAGGAAGAAAAGTTATCCAACAATAAGGATTGAATATAAGAAGAAAAACTGACGTAACTGGACAATCAGTATTCAAAACTCCATTTGTAATGAAAACGAATTAAGGTTTAACTTCTAATCTTCTTGGAGATCTTCCCAAAGAAAGAAATGAACAGTGCCTTGATAGTGTCCACCATACTACTGGGCTGCTCGATTTCTTCAACAGTTTCCATCCCCAGCGTCTCAAATTTGATTTCCTCCTTCTCCAGGATGGACATAACGTCCGGCAGAATAGTCTCCCCAGAGCCTTTCTCCTCCAAGATCTGCCTACACAACTTGGATGCTTCCTTCGCGTACTCCAACTGCTCGATCCGACTCCGAGACCCATCTATACCTTCTTTTTTCTCTATATTAATGAGAAAGTTGATGTATTCCTCCAGAGACAGAGGCTCTGGATTGAGGGCAATTTTTTCGAGGCGGGCTTTGCTCATGTGGGCCTTTTGGATCTGGGCGAAGAGTTCAACTTGGCTTTTCTGAATTTCTTCAGTGAGGTTCCTCAAACTCCGTTCCTGAACTGCCTTGGCCTCTATTTGCTGGGCAACATTGTCTCCGTCTTCAGGATTCTTCTGCTTGTAGAAGGATTTCATTTCATATCGTATCGATTGCAGCCGATGGGTCTTGGAAGGGCATTGGCATTTTTTGCATTTCACATTCTGTTCGTCGCTCTCCATGCATCCGCTTTTCTCTATATCCTTGAGTTTAGACATCTGCGTCGGGTATTCGCAGGTAGTTTGGCAGGTGATGCAATTAATGGCCTTTTCCTTCCTCTTCAAGGAAATTTGTATTTGTTTTTCCTCGAACCTCACGAGTTCAGTCACCTTCTCATGTTTCTCCCTGAGGATTTTGCACTGATTCTGAAGTTCACTTATCTTAGATATCGCTGCAATTAAAGCAAGGAAACGATTCCTCGGATTCAAATAACAAATAAAATATCAATGAAAGGCTCATATATGTCATAGTGCTCACCTCTAGGGATGTTATCCTGCAAGTTTTCCAGAGTCTCCTTTAGGATCCTTCTCTCGGCGAGAACCTGTTTTGTCAACGCAAGGCTAATCGGTGACATCTCACCAAGCGATTTTAAGAAATCCTCGCTACTTTTCTGACCGATTTCCCAAAGCATCTCTTGTAAGGGGTCCGAACTATTGGCGAACAGGGCGGAGTTGTTGAACGTATGAAAAGATTCGTAGGATATTTTGGCCTCATTGATTGTGCTGATGGCTGGTGGGTCCTGGGCATCACTGAAGCTTATCAAAAGAACAAACTTATCCTTGGCGTCATTACCGAACAACTGGGTAATGGCATGACAGATGTACTTCTGCGTGGCTGTGAGTCTGGGAGTGGAACATGGCAACACGAACCCGACTGCATTGATAGATTCTAAGCCGAATGGAGCACATTGATTGAAGAACTCCAGCATCTGCGAGAGAAAATATATTTCATGTAAAAATATACTAATTTTTTCGCTACTGGAAATTCTTGTAGAGGAACGTTATTTCGACATTTCCTTCAGCAGATACCTTTTGGAATCTAGGAAAATCGCGGAAAGATGTAAACTGCGGAAGACTGAAATGAACCATCATGATAAATTCAATAAAATGTTGCAAGACACAACTTTAATTTCAGCAACACACAAAGACTCACTCGAGCACGCGACATTCCTTCATCGCATGTTATTGTAAACACGACCAGAAGAAAGTATGAAAAATCAGAACCGTGGCCATACGTCAATTGAGTACGAATCCGTGGAAATATGTTATACCGGATAAGCGGTAGTAAACGAGAACTACTCTTCCTACTAAGAAGGCCGTATCCAAAGAAAATTCCTGCTTTATTGCTTCCTGCCCGCCCAAACAAAAGGCCTTTCAGGAACATCGCAATGCATATTTTTTGTGCAATGGTAGATATCGAAAACTCAACGAGTCAGATTTCTTTTACTGCATTTCAATTGTCAAGTTCTGGATATTTTGAATTTTCTTGTTGAGAATGCTGAACGTAAATGAGCAAAGTGAAGGAGCAAACTACTGTATAACCCTTGCGAAATTGCGTCCTATTGCAAGGAATTTCATTATATGAAAAAAAAATTGTTCGTTACAATCGTTCGTTTGCGAGGTCTGGATGGTGTCATTTTTGTACCTGTTTCTAACATGCTTTCACTCTCATTTTAAAGTTGGTATTTCACGCACTCTATATCTCCCACCTGAAACTAGAGCCTAACCTTGAAAACAAGTTCCTCGTCCTTGTGGATTCCTTCGGAGTCCCCAAATCCTGGCGTGTCGATGACGGTGAGTGTGTACGGGATCCTCATACCCTCTTGCCAATTGAAGGAATATGCCGATATCTCTTTAGTTTGACTGTGAGCCTTTTCTCTTTCATGCAGATCAGCCATCTCTGTGATGAGCTTGAACCGAAAGTCGTCCTTCCACTCTACGCCGTATATATAGTTGGCAAGTCCATTGATGATTGTCGTCTTTCCTAGAAAGAATTTCGTGAGGTAGGATTACACTCTTAAACATTATGTCACGGGAGAAATAAGCTCTGTTAGAGGAGCTTTGGTTTGTGAAATGTCAGGAAAGCAAACATTACTTCTGAGACACCTACCAGAAGAATGCTTCTACTTCATAGTACACAATTCTGGTAGACAATATCGTCTTCTTTCTTCTGCTTAAGAATCTACTTGCAGTACAATGTGTTCGATTCCAGAAGTAATATGTGCAATAGAAGATAAAGGCAAATTTACCTGTAAGCTATTCAAAAATGTTTGCGATAAGCAAAGATAAACTACAGGTACCTGCTCCCGTCTGACCCACGAGAATGATGGTCCTCTCCTCTCCATTTCCAAGGATGCGGGCCCCTACGTCGTACTTGGCGATCCCCATTTCATCATTTTTCATTATGTTCGACTTTCGCAACTTGTAAATATCAGGTTTCCCCTTCATCCCTTTTTGGAACAAGTCCGCAGCTGCCTTCATATTATCGAGCAGTGTGGTCTGAAATAAAATGTTTATTCGGAAACGTTGCTTTCTTGATTTAGATCGAAATAATTGAGCAGGTGGTCAAGGTTCTTTACAAGGAACCCTTGCCGCCAGTTGGGATTCTAGATCATTATACTCAGCAGATTTCAGGCATTTTCGTCACAAGAACATGCCTAATGAATCAACAGAACTCCATTATTTCTCAATAATATACAAGATTAATATACATTCTCACTCTCACATTAGTTTTAAGGTTAACAGTTTATTATGGTGTAATCGATTTTAATAAGAGCGCAACTGCTTTAAACAGGCTTTGCAAGCAAAAAAATAGCCAAATGCAGAAATAACACATTTCTTCAATAGTCTATTCTCACGTTTTCCCAAGGTTAGCCCATTTAGCAGGGAAACACGGAAGTCATTTAAATTGGATGGAGAGAGGAAAGCCTATTACAAGAACGCAATCTTCAACGAGCATCTGAACGAAAGTTTGCTTCCTAAGTCTGGGCAAACATGAGCATTTTTAAATGCAAAAAAGACTTGCCTCACCTGACATTACATGTGGTCGCAATGGATCAATAGTTTCTAGTGAGTCGAGGTAGCGATTTTAAATCTCTCAATATAGTGTTCTTGTGTCAATCTTTAGAATAATCGAGTCTGCAATTGCAGTTGTGAATTTATCTAATCATTGCATTTTCTAATCATCGTGGCAACTTTTTTCCTTTGAGCAATTGTGATCCAAATGTAGTGCTGCTATTACATTTCCATTGAAGGTGTGAGAGTGTATATGGCATGAGAATGAATCGCGCAACTATAATGAGTTAGTCACTGGGTATGTAGCTCTAGCACTTAAAGCGATCTATGATAATACTTCAAGTTAATGGGACATCGGGACTGACTGCACGTGTGTGCGTTCTTTGCCGGATTATGCCCGATGTGAGGTCATGAATTGTTTCATACATGAAAAAGAGGCTCCGATGGAGCTTGATAGGTGGGTGTAGATGAAAAGTCATCTTACCGAGTCTTCCCCATGAATTTTCTCGCAAAGGAAGTCACCAAATGAATGAAGACTGTCAAGGGTGTCCGCGTCGATAACCCAGTCTCCGGAAACTTCCTGGATCTCCAGAAACCCGTCCTCTCGCAATTCCTGCCAAACTCCCTCATGATCTGGCAAGCAATCAATGATGTAGAGACTTGTTCTGGCTCTAGAGATGCTATCGAGGATCCAAGTATCCTCCACGTTCACCGCGACGGTAACGTTGGATTCACATCCTCGGAAGTCCTCCGGAGCAACAAACGTCAGCCTTTTTGCATGATCTTCGCTCAATGACTCCAGACAAGACAACAACTTCGGGTCAGTGACCATCACGTAAATGGATTTGTCGTTTTCGAAAGTCAGAACGTAGCGGAAGCATAAGAATGCACCCATGAAAGGCCCACAATGTTCTTGCCCTTTGCACTTTCGAGTCAGATGATGCCCTGGACAATTGTATTTCACTTTGATGTGCTTGGGCTGGGGACCATGGACGAAGACCCCCGAGTGCGAGGCTGTACAAAGACTTTTGGTTTGGAATCGCAATGGGTTGCTGGTCTCATTTTTAGAAATGTTAGCGAGAAGCGATGGGCTTGAATAGCGGGCAAGAGACCGTTTGGGGACAGTGATCACCTCCACTTTTTCTTGACTCTGAAAAAAGGATATCAGCTCATCCACGGAGATTTTTCGACCGCTCTTCGAGTGAGGCTTGAACACGACTGTTAAGATTAGGTCCTGCTCTTGTTGTTCGGTTAAGTCTTTCAGGGCTTGCATCCACTTGTTTACCTCCTCCTCGGTGTCGTTGGCCTGGATGGAATAATCATCCACGTAAATATGTATGATCGAGGACCGATATTGCCACCGCGCCTTTTCCACCCCATCATAGTTGATGATGTCCTGGGGAGACAATGGTTCCGTTCGTTTGAGGTCCAGAGCACTCGAATAGTCTTCCAGGTAAGCCCGCGCCGCTTCCTGACTAAGCGCGCTTCCCATATGAAGCAGGATGCCCTGATGCTTTTCACCTTCATTTCTACGGCGAGCAATATGCTTAATCCTTTCAAGTAATAGGGTGCTCTTTCCCGAAGAAGGAGGCCCAAAAATCACTGTCAGGAGTGGGGGATTTTCAACGGGATAACTATATTCCTCAGACGTTCCATGCAGATTCGCATTTACTTGGAAGGCCGGAATCATCTGACGCCATGCAGGCTCATCCAGTCTTGCCATTTTTCCTTCCCCGCCCATCTCCTCCGCACGCTCCATCTTCTCTTGAAGCTCTTTCTCATATTCCTTTCCATTATCACTCATGATTTCCTCCATTGCATTTTCTGTCCTTAAGGGCTTCATCTGAGAATACTTTCCTATGTGCAGAGCTTCGTGTTCCACAATGATTATGACATTATTTTGGCAGGAGGATATCAAACGTACATAATTTTTCCATTTGTAGTCTGGCAGGTCTAGAATAAGAATGGTGTTGTTCATATGATACCCTAGGATTTGATCGCCTGTCACGATTATAATGGACGAGGATGATGAACCACGGTACCTTCCCCCAGAATCAATAAAACTGACCTCAGTGCGATACATGAGATCGAGAGTGTTCATTAGACAATTTCTTCTGTCAATAGTATCCACTACAATGTAAAGGGGGCTATCAGATGTGATGGAATACTTGCTTAAGATTGTCTGTATAGCCTGGGAAGATCGCACGGCCTCACACACCAGCTTGCTCTTGCAGGCGTCATGGATGGTAAAGCATGAGGGGATGGGGAAGAATGTAGGAAGCAACTCTTCCTCAGGATGGCCGAAATGTAAGTCACGAAGAGTCGGTTCTTCGCAGATAAAAACCTTTCGTGCATATTCGCCTAGGGCCAAGAATAGATCGGTCACATGACGTGGGTTCCTCTTCACGATGTTCAGGACATTCATGTTCTGGCCTGCTACCTTGATTTCATGGGGATTGATGTATCTTGTGTAGGCAGCATCGTTAGGACGAAATGCGATGGTGAGACTTCTCACAATCCCCTCGAGACTGGACATATTTTCCCAGTGTTTAGAAAGAGCCTTTTCATCGAGTTCACCTTTCATTCCCAGTGTGAGAGGGACTTCATCAAGGAGAACATGTTTCCCCTTTCCTCGCCTTTGCAAGAAGGCGAATATCCCATCACTGTCTTGTGATATTTCCTCATCCCTTCCATCCAGCACCATAATATTCGTCAATCCTGCAAGCATATCCAAGAATAACCAATTTTAGCGAGATCCCAATTGGTCTGCCTCTGAATCAACTTGGTTCTGATTTACCACTTTACACTGCCTCGACATTGCGTTCTCATTATAAGAGGGTAAATTCTGCCGTAAACTCCACTGTAAGAAAGTAAGGAACTTATCTTACTATGAAACCACCTAAGGTGAATATTATCAGTAGTGCCTGACAGGCCATATATGAAACAGCACAAAGATGATGGTGGGAACAGAGCAGCTATTTTCAGCCATTTTCAAAAAACGCACGATTACCGCTAACTGAATAAGGGGTTAAATTGCTGGGAAATGCAGGAGCTGGAAGACCGAAGAGCCTCACAAGAGTGGGATGGAACCAAAAAAGGTTTCTTTCATTTGCATGAAAGTGCATAATAACATGAAGTCAGCGGATTTGACCTAATGCCAATGTCGGCAGATGAACTAGTAGTTCTTATGTCCTCCATGAGAAAGTGGATGGTGAAAATACAAATCGACGAGGGGAAACGGCAGTTCTTCACGCCTTCGTAGAACTCACCGGTTCCGATATGACAGCCATATTATTGGGCAAATATACGAAACGGTCAAAACACACGGTGGGAAAGAATATGGTTTATGCTTCGGTACTGTATTGAGGTATTACTGGAAACACAGGACATAGACCTTATAACTTATTCAGCTACGATTCAATATAAAAGTTGATGACAAAGAAAACAGGGCGTTCGGAAGTTATTAAGAAGCTGCCGAATTAAATTGAAATTCCTGAACCGTTCAAGATGAAGTTATGAAGCTGACGTCACAAGAAAATCCAATTCTCGTAGTGGATTTCATCACAATATTGCAACATCTTCGTCGAAGACCTTATAGACCTTGAAAGTGACAGCAATTCTGCAGGAATGCGTGCAGTGGCTGCTTCGGGTGTGGAATTACAAATTAACATTTTACGTCCCACGTGAGTTAACGTTTTCACATGATGCACCGTCTGTTAATAGCACTATTCGAATGTGTCAAAGGGAATATTTTGTAAAAGAAAGTATTATTTCAATAGTAAAGTGCAGCATTGCTGAAATGGCGAAATATAACAATATTTATCATTGTCTTAAATTAATGAAATGTTGACTTCACCGAAAAAGCTCTTAGGAACTATTGCAATTTCTTTCAAAATATAATTAAGTGCGAGGAAATTAAGTATTGCCGATTATTCTAATATGGTATAAGGGAAGACTGACTTTCGAATTCATGCTGGAAGTTTTTCGTCAGGTGTCCCCCTGCAAGGTTCACCACTAACACTTGAGCACCCTCTTGCTTCCCAATTCGTTTTGCTCTCTCTTTCACAACAAGAGTTTTTCCCGTCCCTGACGCTCCCGCTATCGGGAGGAGCCAAGATGACTTCTCATCCTCATCCACTAGTCTCTTTTGTTCGGGAGTTAAAATGCATGCAATTTTTTCCATTTGATCATCGTTGGCGGGGAAATGCTGCAGACAAGAGTATGCCATTTCGATAGAAGAAGAAGCGCAGATGTAGAGAGAGAAAATTTCTCGAAACAGCCGCTCAGAACTAGATGTGGCTTCTGCAATGATTGATGGTGGCTCCCAAACACCGTTACGTCGTAGAAATTCTTTGAGAGCATCTGGATGTAGGAGATCGTCCTTCGTCAAGATCTTCTGTGAACACGATTCACACTTGAGGAACCGAAGAATATGCTCTCTCTCGATGAAGGGAAAGGCAGGGAAAGCAACGACTATTGCGGCCTGCTCAAGGAATGGACCACACATCGTACTAAAGACAGCTCTATCATCGTGACACTGAAGGATTGCCTGCATAATGTTTATCTTCAGATTCTTCTCATCGATTTCAGAAGAATGGTTACCTATTTGGAAGAAGACATTGAAAACCTTGTCTCCGCTTGGATAAGACAAGAAAATGTTTCGAGTGTTATCATTGCGTCCAGAAATGCCAGCTGCTTCTTCCAGTTGCTTACATTTCTCACTTTTCCTCAAGGAAAGGGCTTCTTGAAATATTCCGTGTCCACAAAGGGTTTCACAGACCTTGTAATTGGCTATCAACAGTGATGGACGAGAAACACTAATGTATTTTGCTCGATTGAAAACAGGAACAACGGCTGCATGGTCCCTTGGAAGATTAATATCCTCTCGATCGTCCTTCTCAAGTATGTATTTGGCCTCGTAGTTGACGCCCATGATGTCACTGTCGCTGATGAAACCTGATGGTTGAGAGTGATGCGTTTTCCCAGCGTCAGGGTAATGCCATTGAAGGTATTCTATGGCTGCCTCTGGCAATGGTAAACAGGTGCCACCTCCCACGTAAACCTGGAAAATTTGTATTCCATAGTAACAGCCCGGAATGCATGAGGATCGCTTTTTAACGTATCCATACGAGGGGTGACCAAAAAGTTCAGGGACGGAATTTTTTATGGCACTTTGGTGACTCTTTCTGATTACTGACGGATATAGCCTTCAAAGTACTTTAAATAATATAACCAGCAGAATTGGAAAGTGTCATCACAGCGTCATAAAAAAATCAGTCCCTGAACTTTTTGATCACCCCTCCTACACGTAACGTAGTAAGTTGTGGTAACTGACTCTTCCGATGGACTTCCACAATGCCGTACAAATATATGGTTTTAACAAAATAATTTTCTAATTAAAAGCAAAAACGCAGATATCAATATACATTTATGGATAATGCATACCCCGTCAAATTTCACAACGATAGAGAAACCAGATATGAGTTAATGCCCCTGGCACTGACCTGAAGGTCGTTGCGGATGTCGACTCCAACATCCCCGTGTGATTCGGTCGGAGATGCGACCTCAGTGAGGTGACTGCAAAAGTAGCACGTAGGTCCATCCTGTGGGAAAGGAAATGCAGCAAAAGGTAGGCATTGTAGGTTTGGTATTAGATTCGATTGATTTTGCTTCAAAGCAGCTAAAAACTACAGTTTCTCATTTTGCGATTATACGATACCTCATTTGTTCCTGATGCGGCTAAGGTCATTCCATCCACTCCTAAATGTCTACGAGTTCTTCATCAAGAAGGGACGACAGAACATTAGGGTCTTGAAAGAATTGCGGTATAATGGTGTCATTAATACTTCGGCGATACAGGCAGATGAATCATCCATTTCAACTTACATTTTTTATTATTGGGTGCTGGGGAACGGGGAAAGGATTTGCTATCAAAATATTATTCGCGCTCTAGGTTGTCACACGACATTCTTATATTCACTTTGTGTGAATATATGAAGACATATGCAGTATTTATGCATATAAATGGAAACTCAACGCATTTTCTTCCCGAACGTCGTATGAAGAACGTCGTAGAGATGAAAATTGTATTTCCTCCACTTTAATTTGAACTAATGCATAGATGCAAGTGAACGAAATGCCCAAGAACAACGAACGTATTCAAACATGACGATAGGTGAGCTGTTTTTTTTTTAGTAGCATGTGTACCTAGAAGACGTTATTTGTTCAAATAGAACAATTCATGAAACCTGTCTATGTAGAACCTATCGTTGTAATAGAATTGCTCACTGGAATTTTCGAAATGCAATATGTACCTTCTCAGAGGTGATGCTTGAAAACTGTGACTCTTGATGCGATGCGGCGCCTGGGGACGACACGGCATTGGCACTGATGGAAAATCAGATTCAATGTTCGATTAAACAGGAAATACGCATCTTCATCTTCATTTAAGGAAGTATTAGAAACCGATATGTCCAAGCGTTACTGACAACTTAACTGCATTCAGCCAGAGAATGACGTCCCTGAATAAAATCGATGTAACAGAGAAATATATGTGATTCAGAAAGCGAACAAGAAACACAGACGATAATTTTCCTCATAGTAACCCTTTTTATGCTGAAGTTTTTCAGCTATTAAAATATCGCCGAAATATTAAAAAATATTTTTGAGGCATTGGTACGAATAGATTCGTTACGATTATTTTTCAGCATTAGTGTGAATGATTTTGACTTCTTGCTTCACTGTACAAAATATGAGGATATTATGTCATACCTGTCCCTAACGTAAGAACATGAGCATTAATAATCGTAGCCAAGGAATGTGCGACCAAAATAGAATTCAGTTGGTCCCCTAACAATGCATAACTTCCTATTAGATCAATTGAATGACTTACTTTCAGAGGACATGCACGTGAGAAGTCATTGCAATAAGTTTGGAACTTACGAAGGGGAAGTTCCACCTCCTGCCTGGGTATCCACCACGTCCTCAGTCACAATAGCCATGTCCTCTTATCTGCTTTTGGGATGTTGCAGCTTCATTTGTTCCATTACTGACGTCTGGGACACCAATTGATTCGCCATTTCTCTCTCAGCGTTCGTTCCCCCATTCAGGATAAAATTATGACTGGGAACGGATGAAGAAGAACTTCATTTTCAGGCTATGCAAGACGCAAAAGTCGTAGCAAGGCACTTGATTGAGCATCTACAAAGACTTACATACGTATAACGCTTCCTACCGTTCAACTTCTCTTTTTCATATCTACAGGGTGTCCTGGAAAATCTTCCCACTTTTGATGGGATGTTGCTTCTGCGGGGCTTGCAACACTGCCGTGACTTTGCCACCTATGAATAACCCAGATCCTCCTCTACCGCGTCAGCGTGTTAAGGAAGGAATGGAGAGGAGTGTGTGTTAAAACGTGAAGGCAGCTTCGCGGGACATTACGTACGACAATGACCGTCAAAGTGCACGACAGCAATGGTCCACAGGAGTAGCCTTTAAGATCTCAATACCTAACGGCAGTGACAACTGTCCTTGGTGTTTTCTCACTGTGAAAGTGTACGCTGCAAAACGTTGTAACATCTTTCATCTCATTACTGCCATTTCCTGTCATCTGGATGCCATCATCGTGAACATGAGCTGCAGAGCAACGTACGCCTTTCCCCGTCGTTGTCGTTTCTGTCATGATCAGGATGGACAACAGTTGGATTATATGCCATGACGTTCTGTGGGCCGTGTTTCTGTAGTGGTTATATAATGTAATAAATGATTATAGCATAAAAATGCTTAAAGATACAGGATGTCTCGGACATCCTGTATATTTAAGGTTTAGTTGCAGCAACGGTTTCCTAAAACTTTCTTTGTTGTAGGTATCCTCGTGATTTCCTGTAATTATAGTTAATTCCCATGCGAATAATCTTTTCACATTTCTTTCAGTATTGCAGCTATACATTTTGAAAAAAAATAGCTTTGCGATATTCTGAGACGATGGGATAGTTTTGCAGCCTTTTCATCCCTTAACAAAGCAACCATTTGTGCAAAAGTGTCGGTAATATAGGCTCCATCATTATGACTTAATGAAGAGCAAGAGGAGAATGAAAGGATTTTGTAAATAATGCAGGATATGATTACGAGTCGGTTTACTGAGATATCACTGTAGTTGAGTTTGAGTGTCAATCATTTTTACGCAGAACGTGCGCAGAAAGGAAGTATGCCAGGACGAACTGTTCAGACTCCGAATTGGTTTCTTCCTATGATTTTTATGTAGAAAGAGTCGAGTTCATTCATAGTCGATTTGTCGGAGGACATCCAGTAACAGTTAATGACATGGACAGTCTGCATAAAGGATAGTCTGCATAAATTGTTGGTGTATTGCTTGACTGCAGGTTAGTTCGGTCCGAAGTGTCTAGCAAATCAGCGCTGTAAATGCTTAGCCGAGGTCGAAAATCCACAATGTGAATGGAAAAGTTTACTTTTATTATTATACTGAAAGTACCCTTCGAATGATGATTAGAGAAAGATAGGGCGCGGAAGGAAAATCCTCTGATACTTCATTCTCTAAATGTCAGTTAGTAACTATCTCAAAGAAGTTCACTCTGACAAGGTGAAGCAGCAAAATTATTTATGTTACTGGAAATTCAGTTATAGCATCAGATGCATACCCTCATTTTTGAACACCGTTGGAAGTATGGAGTCCTTGTCGAAGCTGTGGAATTCGAAAGAAGGCACAGCAAAAGCCTTCTGAAGCTACGCCTTCATATCATCCTCATCCTGTGAAACATATTTCCTTCCCCATAAACCGTATCTACTTGTATAAATGGTGGCTTCAGATAAGCTAAGGGTATCTCTGTACAAGCTGCATGAGGGTAGTCCTCAAGTGGAGAAAGGCGAGGAAACTTAAAATAAACATTTGAGTTGAAACTGCAAAATTTATTTCTATTAATCATTATTTCATCATATCGCGAAGAGGTTAATTAAATGTACATTCAAACACGGACATAGGTGATTCCATTTTATGCCGTACATCGACATAAGAAAGGCTATTAAGTGCTATCTTCAACAGAGATTACGAGATGGAAGTACTGGAGGGCTTCCTCTAGGCTGCCATGACAGCGTTATCGAAACGATGAACCTCAATGTGTATGCCTCGTAATATTCTGGGCCCACCTGTACTGCTGCCGCCATGATAAATGAAACCAATGGAGTCAGCTGTCATACTTGGTTATCATTTTTTGCATTATCTTAATATTAATACCATCTATAAAATATGTCTCGGCCAAAGGATCCATCAAGTTGAGTTACCTGATTTTTTATTAGGTTTAATCCAGCTCGTTTCTCGGATACGTCATGACTCAAATTCCCTCCTGCACTCTTTCCTGCTCGAGAGCTTGTGGATTTTTGTTTATAACATGCAGCCTTCTTGATGGAAGCAACAAGATCCTGCCCTTTCGACCTAATTTTTCCAACCTCAGCTGTTCTTGACCATGAGGTTGGTTCTAACTTTGAGGTTACCTCTTCCCCATTGAGATGTGACTCCAGAAAGGCCTATTCACTAATACTGTTAGGAATGCTTGATTGCCGTGAAAACTGACAACATGTAAGGTAGATTAGCGATATCTGTAAAATGTCTCTACTCTGCCTTTGGGATCCTATGTTCCCACCAGGATCTGATATTGCGACCTGATATGTTACCCACAGTAGCTCCTACATCGACAACTAGAGAGACTGAATTGCTTTCGGTATTCCTATCCATAGGAATACTCTTATTATCCCTTAAACAACTTTATCTGTGGAATTCTTACATTATACAATCGAGGTTTTCAGTGTCATCCTCCAAACGGACTGCTATGGTATATTAAATTTAAAAAATTAATTTTGGCATCGTCAATTGGAATACGAATAAAGATCCTTCATTTAAAAAAAAAACAAAGCTTGCTAGATTAGTAAATTGAAACCATTCCGGATATGAGATTTTGGAAGTTTCAACTACATGCAATTCTAACAACGCCAAAAATACTCTTCATTATGTGATGCAGGACTTGGCCAAACGAGATTTTGCCTCTCGCATACTTTCGGGAAAGGACAAGAAGTATTGTCTGACCTCGGAATGGAAGCATCAGGAAGTGGTGTTCGTGGCAATTGCTTATAAAGAACTAAGATGAGCAGAAGTTCCACAGTATCAGTCGAAACCTAGTTTTGTGTACAGATCCTCGTCTCCTCCACTCCTTATCGGGGTATTACTCCTGGCGATGTTCTTAAATGAAGCGAATTCATTCTGAGGCCTACTGACACAAGAAATCCTTCAGAAAGATTATCCACGTTTTCACTCCTCTTTCAGAGCGCAATATTGTGCCTTAATTTAACCCGCCGAATTAGTCAGTGTTGGAAGTACCCCACCTCGTTGGCATCACTGTCTGTATCACTACGATTGCATGCCATGAGAAACTAAATGGAAATACAGCCGCATATGTAGGGAGACAGCGTAGGCCGTGATAAGATAAGACGTGGTTTGCGTGCAATGAACTATATATGCACATTTTTCGTGACACCTACGGCACAACCTCGTTGGCTTAAAGGAGCTTCGTTAATTCCAGAAAGATAATAATTACAGTCGTTTGTCACAGGAAGCACCGTCAGGCGGTACATTTTGCTATAGGAAGGGGGTATTTGTTTCACATTGCTGCCACAACGGAAAAGTGCTCCTGCTGCAACTCACATTTTTCAGAGCCTCAGGGTAGAGTTGCTCACTGGTGCTAATGTGTCGGCGAGGCATTTTAGGAATTATTCGTTAGTATTTAGCCGCACATGCGCTAACTTCCTTCTGTACTAAAGTTGAACAAGTTCTTGGAAATGGCGCGTACTGTTTCAGAAGCAGTAGTATATGTACAATAAGCTAATGCTAATAGTCCCATAAACTAATTGGCGATGCAAGAGTATTGAATGTGCTGGGACAACGAAATCAGCAAAGTCGTCAAGAGTCACATGAAAACCTACTAAACCGAGGCGTTCACTATGGCGATTGTGGTAATGAGCTCGAATATCACGATGATGGTGTTTAGGAACAAAATCTTTCTTCGTACTGTAAGCTGAATATTTATAAATCTAATGAAGCAGTTCAGTTCCGAATGGGTAATGCGATGTACGGAGGATATCAAGGAGACGTTATGCTCACAATAGACAATTCACATTTTTGTCTATAAGACGGCCAGCGTTGCAGCCGCAGGTCGCTAGCACACATTTGAATCTGTTATATTGTCAAATTGGCTTACCGGCTAATTCGTCTGATTGTCCAAACTCATTTTGCTGAACTGCCGAATCGTCGACATGGGGACGCACTTTACAGAAGCGAGGAATCGCGCTATTTTTCCATGCACGCTGAGATGGACTGGGCATATTCCTTTGGGGAATATGCTGGGACCCGGAAGGGGTGATGCCATTATCTTAACTTATCTATCTTATATAGTGATGCCATTAACTAAACCTTGGAGGATTCACCCATTTGAGTCACGTACCCAGCCCTGGAGAGTTCACTCATTTTATCCCCCTTATCATCTCTTAATTGGGGCCTGGTAAATCCCCTATGGCCGATATTCCTCCGTGGGGGTAGTGAACCCTGGAACTTGAGAGTCGACCTCCTCGAGTCACAGATTTCCAGTATCTTCTTCCCCTACTGATGTCACACAGTCACATGCAGAAGATTGAACTGATAATTCATACATTCGCAACGAGGCTTCCTAGGCTGGAATCTAGGAGTTCGTGAGGGAAGGTAGGCTAGAGTCATGGCCTAGTCGCCTCAACTGCAGCCTGCCTTCCCTCTTAGACTGTGGAACTGTCAGAACCTAATGCTTCAGGACCAACCTGCGCAAGGAATGGGGTCTAGGTTTGGCATCGCCACTGGTCTTCTGTAATTCGAACTCAGCATCTCAACATAACGAGATTCGTTTTAATTTTGAAGTTTCATTTAGGGAAAAACAATGTTATTACAGATTGTGTTTCCCGTGAATGG